TGAACTGCACAGCTCCAGGCAGGTTTTGGATCAGTTGGTCAGTGCTGGGGCTCAATTAAAGAAGTTCCCCCAGGGGCTTAGACCATTTGGGAGTAGCCATGTGCTCCAGAACAGGAGCAGTAGGAGAAAGAGGCACTTGGAGAGAGCAAGAAGCAGGGCCTTCCTAGTTGCGGGAGGCTGGAGAGGGCCATGGCTTCTGACACCATGGCACTGCCAGACTGCCAGATTGTTTGTGCTTTCCCGAAGACGTGTTCTCCATGCCCCTGCCCTCTTAGAGATGGTCTACATGAGTGGTCCAACAGGGTCTGTAATTGCTGAGGCCCTGGTGTGCTGGCTGTGGGACATGGCAGGGGCTGAAAAACAGCTCTGATGCATGGTCCTTCTGCAGCCCCCTCATCTTTGGTCCTTCACTGAGTGTGAGCCATGAATGTGGTCTGATTCATACAGCAGAGGTCATTAACTTCCTTAGAGCGGCGGTCAGCTCCCCACCATGCCTCAGCTGTCTGTCCTTCCCATGGACATCTGCCCAGCCATCAGTCCCAGGCTGCACAGGAGGCTATGGAGTAGTTCTTCAGGCTTCACTGGGTGAGGCACCAGCCTGGATGATTATAACAGTCCCTTGTGATGTGGGTCTTTTTCCACCCAAAGAGGACCTTGGATCACTTTTGACCCTCTCTTGTTTTCTGACTTTCCAGCTTTTAGGTTTCACTTTTCTTTTTCTTTGGTACCCACATGTGTTAGAAACTGAGATTTGCACAAAGTTATCTGGGTTCAAGAGCAGGGACAGTAGGGCTTGTAACGGGTAATATGAAATCCAGAACAGATAGATTTATTTTTTTTTTTTTTAATGTCCCTGTGATTTTTAATAGAAATATTCACACAGTTCACACATTCTCAAAATGTTTGCACTAGTAAGTAATAGACTGGGAAGCATTAGGTACAAAGTCAAATTCTTGGGCAGAAATAAATTTTTCTACTGGGGCAGTCCTCCAAGTCATCACTCCTACTGCAACACAGTGATTAATAGTGTGCCCTCCGCTGTGGCTCCCTAGAGCACAGCGACTTAGCATAGACCCAGCTTTAAAGAGCACCTGTCCAGCTAGGGCAGCTGAGTGATGCAGGAGCCATGTGAGAGGAGAAGATGCTTTGTAAAAGGGTGCTGCCACATCAACTGAATCTTTTCTGCCTCAGAGCACTGATGTTGGCAGAATGGTGTTTGTGTTAAGGGAGTAAACACTAGCATGTTTGTGCTCCACAGTTTCCGCTTTGTTCTTCATCTATTTCTGCTTTTTCTCTCCTTGGTGCCTAGGGTTTCTGCTGGGTGGGTCTCGGCTTGGCTCTCAGTGGGTAGTCTAGTGTCAGACTCATTTTGGTCAACCCCTGCCATTCTCAAGCTGGCAGTTAATTAAGCTGTCAGAACCATCCATTTAATCAGAATATGTCAGACACATGCCAGGGTCTCCCCTCAGGAGAACTGATAATTTCCTGGCAGCATCAGGATGGAAAGACACAGGATATCCCATCGTTCTGCTGATCGTATGACGTTCAGGGTAAATCCTCAGCCTCACTGGTCTCTTGTCAGGATGGAACTGATGCTCTCCGGGGACTCATGACCCAGGATTGCATCTGGCTGGTCTTTGCTGAAAGCCCATCGAAGGAATGAGAGTCTTCCACAAGGCTCTTGCCAGCATGGGGAAGCACATGCACAGAGGGCAAAGGCTGCAACTGGGAGCAGAATCTGTCCAGCTCTTCCTCCTTCCCCTTACAGCCCATGGAAAAGAAGTAATCGGTTGTCAATGTTGTCACTCTTTTCACCGGTGTCTCCTAAGCCCACCACTGATTTGCTTTGGATTCCATCTGTGCCACGGGTCTGCTGAGATGGACACAGCAAAAGTGCTTTCCTGGTTACTTTGCAGTTTATAACTCGGTCTCGTGGCAAGAGGCAACCCACATCCTGCCCTAGTCCTCAGGTTCCCTGCCTAGAAAGTGGGCAAATATGCCTTCCTCCCTGCACCCCAGAGATGCTGCAGTTCTTCCCACTGAAATCCTGTTACCCCTCCAAGCTGGAATGTGTTACAACTATTAGGCAGGTTATGAATCTCTTTTGATTAAATTTTAAAAACACATTTCCTGTCCCTTGTGTTCTTAGTTGTCAAGGACATGCATAACTACCCAAAGTTATGCTCAACCATTTGAAGATCGGCAGGCCTAGACTGCATTTTGCCACTAGATCTTGTTACTTGGGAAGCAGGATGAAGGCAGTGGGAGGGCTGCGTATCCCCAAAGACTCCAGGGCTCCAGACACATAGGGATACAAGGTTTGATCTAAGTTATCTGGCGATATCTTAGTCCCAGAGACTTCTTCAGGCTTTGGGTCCCACTCAAACAACCTGGAGGAAGATGGCACAGATGGCCCTGCATGAGTACCAAGAGCTGCATGTGTTTTCTTTGGATGGAAACATTGGCCTGAAGCTGCTGGAAGCTCACCAGTGGGTTCCCCACCTCCAAAAGGCATGCAGGGCAGAAAGTGCCCAGGAGTGCAGTGCCAGGAGTCGTGCTCCCTCTCCAGCAGGGCTGGCTGCTTCTGCAAGCCCCCCTCACCCGTCAGGCACCCTGTACCTCACTGCAGGCACAAGTTTGCCAAGTGGGAAGGAGATGAGGAGCACATGGAGTATCTCACTGCTCCCAGCTGGCAGCTGGCTCCCTGAGAGCCACAAAGGGCCTTTTCATGGCCTGCATAAACAAGAGAGGCAAGAAAGGTTGTCACCGCAGAGCATTACTTCTAGCAGCAGCTCAGGCAAGGATTCTCAGAATAATCTCTTTCCAAAACCACATGCTCTTCTTTCCATGCTGCTGGGTTTTATGGATTAAAAGCTTTCGGTGCGCTCAGTTCCTCCACTGTCCCCCACAGCCCAAGAGCTGGTCACAGGCAGGGCTTGACAACTGCAAGGCAGATCTGGCAGTGAACCAGATTGTGCTTGTGCGTGCCTGTGTGTGTGCACGTGTATGCACACGGGGATGTGTTCACCTCCTGTTGCAAGTGGGCAGGAACATGATCACACTGACTTTTGCTACATCCTTGTATTTGCAGATCTGATGACGAACACTTTGCAACGATTATTAATAACCAGAGGTGTGCTTCCCTGACACTGTTATTGCAAGGACTAATTAATAGTTTGCTCTGTGCCTGGAAGGAGTGCTAACACTGCTTCCAGCAGGGAAAGCGGTCATGATGAGACAGGAGTTAATAGAAACCATGTAACAGCAAGGAATGTAGAAATGCAGTCAAGGGTCACTACAGAAGTATGTCCTGACCTCTTTTGGTTTCTATCCATAAATCCAGGCCAGACTCACTGCAGATTTTAGTTGTAATGGGAAAACGTGCCGGAAAATTTTAAAAAACTATAAAAATACAAGTTCTCGAGGAGATCTAGTAAGAGCCCAGTGACCAAATCTGTCCTACCATTGAAACATCAAACATCTGCAAGGCCTTTCCTTTTATGCCAGTCCTCATTTATTTGTACTGGCATTAGTATTTTCTTATGTTGTTTTTTCAGGCCGATTCTGCCAGACAATGGGAGTGTGGCCAGGAGATCTCACTTCAGCTGCGAAAGCGTGGGTCCCAGGTGGTCCAAGCAGTGAGGAGTGCTTGCAGGCTCCTCCATCACCTCGCCACTGCAGGAGGCTCAGGGATTTCCCTCGTGCACAGCTGAGCAACAAAGGTCTCCATGTCCAACATGGTGTGGGTGGACAGACAGTTCCCTAGGGCTGCTAGTGGATCATGGATATTTAAATGGATATTTAAAAAATATATATATATATAATAATATAGTTTTAAATGGATATTTAAAATAATTGGATATTTAAAACAACTTTTCTAATGAAAAGCTAACTTATTGGGAAATTTATTGGATTTTTCTGAAGAAACAACTGAGTAAGTATGGGCTGCTTTGAATTTCTGTGGGATTATTGGTGTTTCAGTTAAGCTCCCAAAAACCTTGTAAAGTTCTCACTTCCTCAGTGCTTTCCTGGGAACAAACAAGCAAACAAACAAAAACAAAAAAACCTGTTCCCTTCCCACCACCCCATTTGTAATGTGTGGCCTGAGCAGGTATCTCTATTGTTCCCATCACTGAGCAGGAATATGATGAGGATGTACAAAAGCTTATTTGTCTGTTATTGAATAACCAGAAGAGGATCCATCATAAGATGGGGTGATCAATATTTAGCAAATTAAGCTCTTCTTCATTTCAGTGGGCAGAGGGCTGTATGGCTAAGTATGCATATAAATTGCATTTTCCATGTCTTCGGCACTGCTGAGGGCATTTGGTTTTAGCTGAAACTGTTATTTTAGCTTAAACTGAGGAGTTTTAACTTCCTAGTAAGTGGAAGACAGCTCAGGCTACGCCATTTGTACCAATGCTAGAAGGGATTCCTCACTGGAGGAATTTGTTTTGCATGTTCCTGTGCTGGCTCCTTGGCTTCACAGGGGGAATACTGCCATGCTAGGTATTAGAAAACTATCAAGAATATCTTATGTATGTGGTCAACCACTGTTTGTTTTTGACCTAAACTCACTTTTAACGTTTAAATTTCTTTTCAGAGGATGACAGACTCTGACCCATCAGGCAGGAACTGTTATTTTTTCCAATTGGATGAACTGAAAGATGAAAACAGGCAGTAATAGTCTTCAAGACTGTGCACAGATCTACAACAGTGCCTATTTTAGCAACAATATCGTTCAACCTTTATCCTGTAAAAGTTCCCTACAAAACCAGCACAGCACGACAGGCAAGTGATGCCCCTTGTGACTGCACTGCAGCTGCTGCAGCAGCAAGGGGTGGCACCCATTCAGCAGCACCTGGTAGCACAGCACTGTGGTAGAGGCCTGAAGGTGAAAACTATGTCTGCAAGGGGAATCTGAGCAGTAAGATTAAATGTCATTTATTTGTAAATGAAAGCCCTCCCTCAAGCTTGGTAAGCTTGGCCCTGGCACAGTGTTTTTTTTTTTTTTTTTTTTTTTTTTTTTTTTTTTTTTTTTCCTCCAAGAGGTTCCTGCTATTTACCCAACTTTCCAGCTGGGCTTCGCTGCGGCACAAAGAGGCAGGACCTGCCTGGGTTTGCACAGTGAGTCAACAGCTCAGCGGGGGATTAGAGCCCACAATCCTGCTGGCAGTGCTGCCTTGGCTCTAACCGCTGGACCATGCAGCCTCGTTTTGTGACTGGTGCTCTCTGCTGCTGTGTGGCTTGTCAGGAAAAAGCCTCGATGTGGCTAATAAAGGGACACTTCATAAAGCAGTCGAAGAAGCCAGACTCGTTCCAGTTCCAGTTCCTTGTCCCGGTGAGGGTGCTGAGGGCTGGGTCAGACCGGTCAGACCTACATTTCCTGGGGTCACTGGCAGAACAGGGAAATCCAGGGACACCACACAGTGCTTGGAGCCCTGCGTGCCCCAGCTGGAGCCCAGCACAGCACACGCTTGCTGGCCCTGGGCATCAGGACAAGAATAGCCAGGAAGGGGGAAGCCCAGCCCCATGCTAACCTGTGCCTGACACCCCACTCCTCTCCTCCACCCTCAGCATCTGCAGGGCAGAGAGGGCCGCTTCAGCTTTGTCCTCCACAAAGGTTTCGTGGATGGCTACAGCGGAGCCTGGTGCTGGGGGGGTGCACGCGTGGGTGGAGAGCAACCGGCACCCCCCGGAGAGGGGCAGCCAGAAAACACCGAAGCCAGACAACCACCCCGAGCTCAGCCACAGCTCCGCTCGGGGCCGAGCCGAGCCGGGCCGAGGCAGGGGCGGCTCCCGGCAGGCGGGGCTGTGGCTGTGGGCGGGCAGGCGGCGCGGCTCGGGCTCGGGCTCGGGCTCGGGGCCGGTCCCTTCCCGCAGCGCCGCCCCGCGCTGCGCTCCCGCCGCACGGCGGGCAGGCGGCAGGCGGCGGCCGCTGCGGCGTGGGGCCGCGCCCCGGAGGAGGAGGAGGAGGAGGAGGAGGCGGCGGAGCGGGCCCAGGTGAGCGGCCGGGAGCGAGGAGCTGGGGATCGGGGTAGGGGCAGGGGCTGGGGCCGCGCTGCCCGCCCGGGGTGCGGAGAGGAGGAGGAGGAGGCGGCGGTGAGGGTCGGGTCCCGGCCCTGCAGCAGGGAGCCGCCCGGAGCTGCGGGTGGCTGTAAGAGCCGCGGGGCTTTGGTTTTTGGGGAGGCGATTTATGGTTTGAGGGAGAATGCGCGGAGAGCCAGGAACAACTTGGAATGGGTCCGCGCATATTTCTGCGGTTATTTTTGGAGTATCGTCATATGGCAGGAGGTGGGCTCTGGAGGTATCCTTGAGCTCAGCATTTTCTCCATAGGCTGGTTACCCGGGAGATCGTCTTAGGGGATCCGTGTGGCCCTCTTCTCTGTCAGTGCTTTCTGTTGAAAACGCCGTTTCCATTGCTGCTTCTGCAGTGGTATTGTTTCCCTCCTGCACGCCCAGCCCTTCTCTCGCAGCGGGTTGTGGTAGGGACCCTTCTGTGGACAAACAAAGGTCTGGGTATGTGCAGCTGGAGATTTGCAGCAATGCTGCAGGAGCAGGCGATGGAAAAGCCGCGTTTGATGTAGCTGTCGATGGTGTGAGGTGACTCCTGATCTGCCACCCCCCGCTGAAATGCCCTGAGAGGTGTGGCTTTTCCAGCTACCTAGAGAGGCATCAGCCTCTGCCTGCACTTAGCTGTCATTTTCCCTCATATTCTCACACTGGGCTTGTTCAAAGTGGCTTTTGCATCCAAACAGCTTGAGGTGTGGGAAGCCTTTTGTTACCGAGGTCTGCTTCTGGCAGCCCTCTGCTGCCTGGCAGCCCTCTGGCTCCTTTGCAGCCCTCTGTCCCTGCCTCTCGTCCCTTTGACTTGAGCTGCCACAGCTATGCAGGCTGTGGAACTGTCCTTGTGGCCTTCAGCAGTGTGCCCATGTTGTCTTCAAGCACATTTGGAGCTGAGGGAAGGCTGGATTTGGGTAGTGATCCTGACAAGTCAATTGCTCTTTAATTGTATGTTTTTGGCTTCTGGTTTGGCAGGCACGGAGCCTGTGCAGGTCTCCCCAGGGTGCTCAGAGCCATGCTCTCCCTGAGGACCCCCAGCCTGGCAGGAGAGGCAGGGTGTGTTCTTTGAGCTGTGTCAGACCCTTGTTATTGTAGCATATGGCAGGTATACAATTACCCCCTTTCGTCCAAATCATTCCCTTCTTATGCAAGGGCAATCCCCAGATTTGGTGAATCATCAGCTTGTAGCCATCCCCTGGGGGCGTGAGCTGCCTCCCCTGCTCGCAGCCACTGCTGTGAGCAGAGCATTCACATCTCTTCACAATCATTGTGCCATGTTTATTGCTTTAACAGCAGCTTCAGCTGGCGATGGAGTCATTAAACCAGACACTGCTGTAAATAGCAGAGCCCCGGTTGTGACCGCAGGGGTTCAGGGTGTCTTGGGAGGGTGTGATGCTGCTCTGGGTTAGCTGCAGAGCCTGCATGTTTGCACTGACGGTAGGCTGGCTCTGCAGGAAGGTTTTTTCCCACCATTTTGGTTAAGCATTGATGTTGTAGCTAGAACTATCCAGCATTTTTATTTTTACTGATTTTTGAGACATCAGCCTTTTCCAAAACTCTCAGGAGAGATGTTTTGTTTTGTACAAAGCTTCTAAAAAAATAAAAAAATGTCTGGGGTTGTATTTCTGTGCAAAAAGCATGACTGTAGAAAAGAGCCTGCACTCCTGGTGCACAAGGTTTTGGTACCTTTCCTGTCTAGTGCAGGCAAAGAGCTTAGTGAGTCCTGTTTCCTGGGCTGCTGCCATCGTCACCATGACATATGACAGCCTTGCAGGGCAAGTGTCTTCTGGCATGCTGTTCATGGGAAGCCAGGAGAGGTGGCCAGGTTGACTGAAGAAGGCCTTGGTGGAAATTTTTCAAAATCAATTTTCTTCCCCAAGGCAGCTGAGTTCCCTTTTAAGCTCTGGTTGACAACCTTGGTCCTGGTGAGGAGGTGAATCTCTCCTCGATTTACAGAATAACCTCTCCTGCTTTCTGCTTGCAGCACCAAGCCCTTGTCCCGTGTATAACTGAAGTGCCTCTGTGTTGCCTACACTCCTTGCTCTAGCACTGCTGAAGAGTTTTGCATAACTAAAAGGGGGTTGCATGGACAGAAAGACCGGTCAGGTGCCTGTCTAATTTTGTTCCTAGAAAAATATTTCCTGAAGATAATTAGGATTTCTAAATTAGGAAGTTGTGGAGAATGGCCTGTTGGTTAAAGAACAGGAGGTGGGCTTGGCTGTTCCCAGGCTCGCTCTGGGTTTCCTGCCTGGTCTCACAGGCTTCGCTTGAGTGTCCTTTGCCTTAATTTTATTCAGCTATGAAATGATGACAATTCCCTGCTGCCTTGGGCACAGTGATATGCTGCCTGAGCGACAGCTGGGATGCTGATGGGGAAGCGTGTGTGAGGAGATGGGTTGAGCATGGGCTCAGGCTTGGTGGCAGATCTGTGTGGGTGTCTGGAAGGCCTGTGTTTAGCTATATAGTAGACTTTCATGTGGTGCCTGTCACTTGAAGGTCTGAGCCTATTCTGAAATCTGAAGCTCTGTTTTGAGCATAGATAAAAAAAACAACACAGAATGGCGGAGATTCCCAGGCCTGGTGGCTGGAAGCTCCTGCGCAGGAAGACTTGTACGGTTACAGATAAGTTACTCTCACACAGCATCTAAAAACGTGCTTGTGCTGAGGCTGTGACAGTGATGGCTGCGTGGCTTATTGTTCTCATTAGAGCAGTCAGGTGGCTGTGAGTCAGCAGGTTTGGGTTTGTCACAACCGTGGCGATTGTGCCAGAAGACCTGGGAGGTTCGGCAGCTATGAGCAGTGTGGGCTCTTCCTCCACCTGGGCGGGCGGGGGTTTGAGCCTGGATTGGGGCTCACTGCTGGCTTGTGCTCTCCTCTGAGCAAGGAAGAAGTTGTGGTGGTGGTGGGAGTCTGAGAGCTGTCTGCCTTGGTATCTCCTTCCTGGCTGGATGGATTTGCGTGCCTTGGGCCTCCCTGTTACTCAGGGTGGCAGCCTGCCGAGCGAGCGGGTTTTCTCCTGCTCATCGCCTTGTCTGGATTACAGGAGATGGGAACAGTGGTGGGAAGAGACTGTCCTTGGTGGGGACGTGGCACAGTATTTCCTTGTGGTTCCAAACCCATCTATCCTCTCAGCCCTTGAGTGGAAGCTTGTGGTTTGTCCAAGGACTCTGAGTGTGAAAGGAAAGAGATTTGGGTGTCTGTGTCTGCTGCCGTGGAAGCAGCAGCTGCTTCTGCAGCAGCTCTGCTGTCCCCATGGTGTGTCTTTGGTGCAAAGTAGGATGTTCAGCCCAGGCCTGTGGATGTCCCTCATCTAGGATGATAGTTGCTCCATCCACCCTTCCTTTCTCCAAGGAGGTGAACTGTTTGGGGGTATATAGTGGCATCCGAAACAGGAGGTGTTTTGGTTGAGCTTTTCTACAGCTGGGGCAGAAGCCAAGGTTTGTTTTCCTTGTGCTGGACAGGGGAATGTAGGGCTATATGGAAAGGGAGGGTCATCTTAGAACTCTGTTCGGTGATTTGGTACAAATGCTTCATGTCTGCATGTCTCAGTACACAGCTGAGGGTGCTTTGAATTGAAGCTGAGAATTATGTAGTGCCTGCTTATAGTGTATGCATGTACATGTGCATAGTCATGCACACATCACAGGCTTACTGTCTGGGAGGGAGGGAGTAATGGACAGAGCCTGAAACACAGAAAATAATGGTCTGGAAGGGGAGGGAATTTCCTTCCATCTTATGCTGATGGTTCCCTCCATAGGGGACAAACAAAACAAAACAAAAAACCTCATCCAATGTTAGCTGTCCTGTGGGCTTGACGGTGTCTCAGAACGAGTCTGCCCTGTGTGGGAGCAGCTGGGTCTGGGCAAGGAGCATCCTGGCTGGGTCTGGTGTGATCACAGAGCGGAGAGGAGACTGGGCTGGCCCCATTGTGCTCAAACCACGAGACAAATGAGGTTGAAGCTGCAGATCTGCTGTTCCCAGCAGATCAGCAGTTTTATTTGTGTACTTGGTCTCTTTGTAGAGATGAAATGTGGTATCACTTTAATATCTGATCCATTTCCCTTTCAGAAGCCAGCTCTCTCCCCATCAGCTGTAATCAGACCCCATGGTAGTCTTGTTGGGCTTTGTTTTGCCTTATCTCTTCTGTTTCCCAGTCTGGTCCAAAAGACTGATGCACCTTTCCAGGGTATTGGAGACGTGGTCAAATCTGGCTCCAGGTGCTGTGCTAGTGTAAAATGCATCCCGCGTTTGAGCCGATGCTGAATGAGGATTTACAGTAGAATTTTTCTGCCAGGTTCCACCCACCTGACTCTTTCCTCTTCTGTTCCTACTAACCCACTGCCTTGGCCCTACTTACTGACTGGTGGCGGAGCAGAGATGTGTGCCGGTATACTTCATGGAGTATCAGATGAAGAGGAAAACACAGGGTGGAGTCATCTTTTGCACAAAGGAAATGCTGAAGTATCGTTTCTGACTTGGGTGGATTTTTAGGTGGCTGGGGAGAGGTTAAACAGGATCTTAACACATTCACAGCCCCCTTCCCACTTCATTTTCCTGTGAATCTGTTGCTGCCGTGGTATCCTTCAGAAGGTATTTTTAGCTTTGCTCCCCCGCTCCCTCTCTCTGCCCGTATCAGGCTTTTGAATGGAAACAGATTTCTATGGCAGAGCAGAATAAGCC